GGTCCGTTTAGGGCTGTGTGGTCCGTTTAGGGCTGTGCCTTCTGGCCCTCAGTGTGGCTCCTAAAGTCCTACATGTTTGATTTCTCAGACTTTGTGCTTTTTTGTTTAATCTTTTCTCTCTGATGTTTTGAAGATGTTCTTGGTGATAGAAATTGTCTTTGAAAGTTCACATCCTCAGATAATATATAGTAGCTATTGCAACAAAGAAATAATAATAAGATGCAGGTAGAGACAGGAAGGGAGCCAGATATGTATATGTATACACACATATACAAAAGGAAGACTTGAGACTCGGTTCAGAAGAGTTCTAACAGACATTTCAGTAAAAGAAAGGTATAAAAGGACCAGCATACGATGATGTTTTACAATTGAAGGACATGCGTTTCCAGCTTTCCTGGTAAGACCTTTTCTCCAATGTGTGTTGATTTTTGTCTGTTCACATTTAAGAGTAAACCACTAAAATCTCATTGGAAGCTTTGGAGAGAGGATGAGCTTTTGTGTACTGCTTTGGATGACAAAGAGGTGATCCAGCAAGATTATTTAGCTAGCTGTTGTGTTGTTGAATCCTGAATATCCGTATTTGAAGACTTCTGTTTTCCAGCTGTCATTTTTTTCTAGAGAAGAATTCTTATCTGGGTAGATAGAAGCTTATGATGGTATCCAGTAGGGTGAAGGCCTCAAGGATTGTAAAAAGAGTAAGGGCATGTGGGGACGGCGGTATCTGACCTTCATCAACTTCACAAAGGGGCACTGTCCCTGTCAACAATATCACTGACACCAAACCAGTTCCCATGAGGTCAGACGTAACCCTCATGCTCTCATATCTCTTTCAGCTCATCTCAACACCAGTCTTACTGCTTTTCTGGGTCCAAATCCAGTGCGATAGCTCACAGACCTTACAGAACCAAGTGAGGAAAGTCAAAAATGAGGTTATGATCCAGATTAATAACAGAATACAATCAGATCAGCTACTGAAATGTGCACACAGGCACTCTGCCTTGACCCTCATGGCTTCAGGCTGGTGTTCCCAAGTTCTTAGTACTGCCAGAGTTGACTTCCCACCCCCTGTTGTCCAACAAAGTTCTCAGTCCTACCAATACTGGCTCTTCCCCTCCAAGGTCCCATTCTCATGTCAGGTGTCCGGTTTGGCCATAGATGTTGCTGGAGCAAGAAGGGCGTCCTACATTGTCTTGCTTCTTGTTCAGTGGTGCTAGAGGATAGATCTGTCTCTATGGCTAGAGCTGTTCAATTTATTGCTGAGACTAGCCAGTCTCTTTGTAGATTGTGGAGAGTGCCTAATCCCCTGATGGTAGATAGCCAATCCCATTCACATTTTCCTCCCCATCAACATAGGAAAGTCAAACAATGGCTATGAAAAGCCATATTGAAAGGTGAACTCAGTGAAGAACACTGCATAGTAATCTTTTCACTTAGTAGTCCTACCACCAGTAAAGTAGAGTAACTTACTTCTGTTCCCAGCTAAATAGATTTCCATGTCTAGGTTCTCCTCACCCCACCGCCACCCTTACCCCGCCCCCACCCCTGCACTCCCCACCGCAAATTTAAAATCTCTGGAAAATATGCTTAGTGTCTTCTCTCTGGGGATAGGAATGAGGACTCAGGGTGGAACCTGGGGGTATAGATGACCAGTCCCTGGAAGAAAGGACACCAGGCCGAGTAAAGTGGAGGGTCAACAGAATAGAGGAAGACCCTCCTTGAGATGGATATGACATAGTGACTGCATCTGTGGGCGTGGACGTGGTGGTGACTGAGGATGGTGCAGGGGTCCTCGTGTTCCGGGCCGGTGAGGCTTACCTGACTGTCACAGCAGAGGATGCAGACATGGTGGTGACTGAGGATGGTGCAGGGGTCCTCGTGCTCCGGGTCGGTGAGTGTTACCTGATGGTAACAGCAGTGGTGCTCTCTCTATAGTCCGTCCGCCACACCTTTAGTGGCCAATTGTTCTCCCACATCCTTCCTTCAGAATAACTGTTGCTTCTAATTTCTGAGCATTTCAGGGATCCTGCCATGAGAATCTGCTTATTTTAGTTATCCTCTCCTCTCCCACGTTTCTTAGGGCAGGAAAACCCAAAACCCAAGAGAGCTGTCATGTTTTCCTTCCGCAGTATTTGGGACAGCTCTTGCATGCCCCTGCATTATTGCCTTCCACGGTGTCCCTGTCAGCTTACAGCTTTTAAGCTTTGTTTCGCTGACCTTTTAGTAAGGATCCATGAAGAAATAGAGACACATCAAGGTGAGCCCTTACTGTAAAAAGTTCATCCATTAAGCAGCTTAACTCCCGTGGACCCAGTCCTCGCTGCTGGAGCTACAGTAGTGACAAAGCAGACAGTTATTCTTACCTTCATGGTGTTTAAGTGTGTGCTGTGTTAGGGGGAGCTCTGGTGGCTTAGTGGTAAGGAGTTGTGCTGCTCACACAAAGGCACATGGTTCTAATTCACCAGCTGCTCCGTTATAGAAAGATGGGCATTCTCCTCCGTACGATTTACTGCCTCTGGAAAAACCTGCTGGAGGGTCAGCTGTAAGGTGGTTCTGACTTGATAGTCCATAATAGCAACAACGATGATATGTTAGATCTTGATAAATGGGAAGGAGAAAAAAGCAAAAAAGAGATGCCATACAAGAAGTATTGTGTGAAGAGCTACAGTCACTTCAGCTGGGTGACCATGAAGAAAGCCATTTGAGTAAAACAGAAATCGGAAGGGCGAGCCTTACAGGCAGAGGGAAGAGCCAGGGCAAAGTGGCAGCAGGTCCCGCGTGTTGGAGGAGCTGAGTGGCTGGATCGCACCGTGAGGATGGACTTTTCTACTGAGTGATGTTGGAAGGTTTGGAGCGTGGGGGTGATATGATCTAATCCATCTCATTCTGACAGAGCTTCCCTGGCTGCTGTATTGTAATAGCTCGATGTGGGGTTAGAGCTGAGACAGGAACACGAGTTGGGAAGGAATCGTGTCAATAGGCCAAGTCACATGGAAGTGGTGAGGTGCCACAGGCTGGATTTGCTGGTCGATTGGGCTATGGGAAGGGAGACTGGAATTGTCAGGATTATTTTAAGGTTGGTGGCTCCTGTGGTTTTTTTAAACGACAGAAATTTGGTCTGAACATAAATAGTTTACAGTCTGTTAAATGAATAGTTTGCTAAAGATTAAGTCATAGAATATTTTTAGGTAATTTTGATCTGTAAGTCATGACTCTTCTTTTTTTTAAAGCTCTTCACAGAATATGGTCGCCTGGCAATGGATGAAATTTCCCAAAAACCTTTCCAGGTAAAATGTTAGTTGTGAAAATAATTTATACTTTGCTTCTTCGGCAGACTATAGTCTGGAGACTATGTCTGGCCCACCACCTGTTTTTACATGACCTGTCAGGTGAAAATGGGTTTTAAAGAGTTTATAAAAGAAAAAAAAGAATCAAAAGATGAATTCCACTTTATGTACCTTTGATGCTCACGGCCCAGCTGTGTTAGAACGCAGCCTGCTCCCTGTTTGTGCAGCGTCCACGAGCTCTTTCCTCCTAGATCAGAGGGAGTAGTGGTGATAGACCGCATGGCCTGCAAAGCCCGAAGTCCTTATTCTGATCCTTTAAATAAAAGTTCGTGTCTCCTTGAGCTAATTGTTTCTAGAGGATTAGAATTCATGGTAACCCCAGGGCCAGTGGAGGTGGTCTGAGTATTCGAACATTATTCCATGTAGTTTCCTTTCTTAATCTTATATGAGTAGCTGAGGCGCTGTTCTTACTTCCTCTTGTGCTTTCCCATTTTCCCCTCTTTTGTACTTCCCACTTGCCCCACACCTGCCTTCAGGGTGGAGCCCTGTGTGAGCATTTTCGCCTTCGTCTCTTCCTTCTGTTTCTAGTAATCTGCGAGAACAAAAAAAATAGCAGATGAACTCTGTTGACCTCACTTTTGGCTTATACATGGCTTAGTATTAGGTTTCTAAGACGTGATCGAATAGATGTAAATCCTTCAGCACATTTCCTTGTTTCCTTTGAAAAAGTGCTAGCATTATGCAAAGAGGTTTTACAATTGTTATCTTGTACATGCATTTATGTACAACATTAGAGTACGTTTTTCTCTTAGACACTGATGTTTTTGGTTCGAGACTGGAGTTTCCCTTATGAATACAGCTATGGACTACAAGGAGGAATGGCGTTTTTGGATAAGCGTCTGCAGGTAAGACTATAACCCTCTGAGGAATTCCCCAAGAGTAGATGATACCTTTCTCATTTGCCTTTTGGCTATTGTATTTAAAGCAGTTTATTGAAAAATGTTAGTTTTACTCACTCTTAACATAAACTAATATTTGTTCATGGATAAGTTTTAAAAACCTGGATATATTAGTGCACAGCGATTATAAGGGAGAATTCTGGGCAAAAGCCTAAGTTTTGATTGTAATTCCATTTCATATTTCTACCAGGTTCTATATGTTCCTTTTAGAGTCTCATATTTCAGAGTTTAGGTCTGTTGTCCTTATTCAAAATTCTTGTTTGTTTTGGGATGGATATAAACAGGCCTTGCCTGTTCTCCAAGACCAAAGCACAAGAGCCCTTTGTCAGTCACTACTAACTGGTTAGACCCTCCTTTATGCCCACAAACCTTCCTTTGTTCTTCCTAAGTATTGTGCAATCATTTTTAGTACCTGCCCTTAGTTGGCTAAAAGAGCTAAGCCACGGCTGATCAAGTGTTTGTATTTCTGACTTCTTAGGATTCTGAGTTTCCTTGTTAGACAAAACACAGGCCACTACAATCCGTCACAGTTGAGTGGCCTTCCTTCCTTCTGTCTTTTACTAGGATTTATAGTGAAGACAAAGAAATGATCACTGATAAATTGTTGGTCTTCATTGGCAGGTGAAGGACAATCAACATGAGGAAATTCAGAATGTTCGAAATCACATTCACTCATGCTTTTCCAGTGTCAACTGTTTTCTCCTGCCACATCCGGGACTCCAGGTGGCCACAAGCCCTGACTTTGATGGAAAGTTGAAAGGTGTGTTATAGCGTGAAACTTGTGATTTCATCCTTGGAACTAAGTAATGACCAGAAAATGCTAGCTTTAAATCTAGTGACAAGAGAAATGGCCTCAGACGACACAGTGCTTGGCATCTCATTCACATTTTGATCTTGCAAGAGATTGAGATTGTTCACAGCTTTAATTTGCCTGGCTCCACAGTCAACACTCTTGGCACCAGTAGCCAGGAAATTAAAAGACGTATTGCGATGGGGAAGTCTGCTGTTAGGGACCTCTCCAAAGTACTGAAGAGCGATGGTGTCTCTGGAGACTAAGGTTCATCTGATACAGGCCATGGTCTTTGCTATCACTTATTATGCATCAGAGAGTTGGACAATGACTAAGGAGAATAGAAGGAGAATTGATGCCTTTGAGCTATGGTTCTGGAGAAGAGTATTGAGGGTACTATGGACTGCTAGGAAAACAAACAGATTCATCCTGGAAAGGGTCAAACCAGGCGGCTCCTTGGAGGCAAGTATTCTGAGGCTTTGTCTAACATACTTTGGACATGTTGTAAGCAAGGACCGGTCCTTGGAGAGGGACATCATGCTTGGGAGGGTGGAGGGACAGTGCAGGAGGGGAAGGCCCTCTATGAGGTGGGTTGATTCGGTGACTGGGATAATCGGGACGGGAATGTCAGAGACAGTGCAACTGGCACAGGACAGAACAGAGTTTGGGGCTTTTGTTCATAGGGTCGCTATGAGTCGCAAGCGACTCGATGGCACATAACAACAACATATCGTCACCATCAAAATTAGCTCAGCTTGATTTCCCCATCTGAAATGGACATGGTAATATCCATTAATGAATGCACTTTCTCTAAGATAGGATTATTGTTTTACAAGGATAAAAATATGCGAAGTAAAGGAAGTCTAAATATAAGTCAGCTAAATACCAAGTAAAATTAACTCCTGAAGGAACCCTAACATGATGCATGGCCTAACTATTGTTTTCAACTTATGATTGTAGCATAACCTGATGCTGACTCGTATGTTGCTATTAGGAAATGCTGAGTAGATGATGGACAGTAGGAATTAGAGTTGAGACTCTTGAATTATATTGCATTTTTGTTGCTTTATTAATCCAGATCTTGAGTCATTTAATGATTGACACTCAAGTTACACATGCATTAAACTGGACACTTTGTTTATGAATTTACCTGAGCCTCTTGGGTTCCCAGTAAAATAATAATAATAATAATAATAATAATAATAATGATAAGGTTCTATTTTTCAGGGATCCAGCTGAGTTGCCAGCACTTTTAGGAATCTAAAGAGGAACCAAGTGTATGAATATGTACAAGAAGTATTACTGTAGTATTTATAATATAGGATTATGGGAAACAACTCAGAAGGTTGTTTATAAGTTGTTGGTTAAACTATGGTACATTTGTAAAAAGGAATGAAATGCAGCCAATGAAAAGGGTGGATATATATGTATTTACATGAAAAGATGGCCATAATATATTTTTTTAAATGTAAAAATATTTGTGAGTAGCATGTGTTATTTATTTAGGAAATATGTCTTTGTAAATATGCTTTAATTTTTATTTTAACTTTTATTGTGCTTATGTGAGTGTTGATACAGCATGTTACTTTTCCAGTCAGTAGTTCACACATAGATAATTTGGGGATTCCTCTAATTTTTCAGTCCAGTAAGTCTGGTCTTTTGTGGTTTTTTTTTTTTGCTTTTGAAGTTTGTTCCACTTTTTTTAACCTATTCGAACCAGGAGCGTCTGTTGTAGTGACGGGCAGGGGTGTTGGTAGTGGTAACCCAGCAACATGTGATCTTCCATTCTCAGGTTAGAGGAAGCTGGTCCAAGTGGGCCATTAGCCCTTTGCAATAAATATACTTTTAAATGTAAGGATTTTGGGGGAAAAAACCCAACAAACCTATGTTATAGTTCTGCCTCTCTTTAAAAATGAGAGTAGCCTGCCCTTCTGTGTCTATTTAAGGAACTACAGCTATTAAGGAAGGCTACTGTTGAACAGTTCTTACTAGCTGTGTAAAGTTTATGTACTTTTAAACCTGGAAGATGGATATTTTGTAATTTTAGAAAGTTCTTTCCAACAAGATTTTCTAGGCTTTTTAGGGGGAAAATGGAGGCTAAATTGCAAAGAGGGAGCTCTGGTGGCCTAGTGGCAAGAAGCTGCGGTGCAATCCTGAAGGCGCATGGTTCGAGGCCACCAGCTGCCCTACGGAAGAAAGATGGGCAGTCTCCTCCCGGACGATTAACTACTTCTGAAAACCGGCTAGAGGGTCAGCGATGGGTCAGTTCTGACTCCACAGTGCACAACAATGGCAGATTGCAAACAGCAGGTGGTTTGGTGGTAGAGAAACAGCAGACTTTACTTTGGGAGACTTGCAAGTTTAAAAGAAAACTAGACACTAACCTGGACTTCGGTGTTTTCTCAAGTATATCCTTGTCCTGTGGAGATGACGACATTATCCTCAGAATGTTCAGGACTAATCCATAGAAAGACCTTACTGCTGTTACTCTAGGACATGAGATTGACCTCATGTTGTATTCCAGAGCTCTTTCTGCAAATGTTACCACTAATAATTTAGGAATTATTTTGTTGTTGTTTTTGTTATGTGCTGTCAAGTCACCTGCGACTCATAGTGACCTTATGTACAACAGCCCTAAACCCTGCTCTATCCTGTGCCAATCTCACTGTCTCTGACACATGTACCCCCATTACCCCAGTCACTGAATCAATCCATCTCATAGAGGGTCTTCCTCTCCTGGGCTGTCCCTCTCCAAGGACTGGTCCCTCTTCGTATGTCAGAGGAAGTTTTGGAATCCTTGCCTGGTTCAGGAGTAGCCTGGTTTCACTCTCTCCACGGATTGTTTTGGTAGGTCTGTTTATTATAGGTTGGCCAGTGATTGTGAAGTGAGCTCCACACGCTGATCCTCATTTTAGTACAATCCATGCTGAGCTGCTGCTGCTGAAATAACTTAGTCAGAAGATCAGCTGCTGTCGGAGGCCCCTTTTCATCAGCTATAGTATAAAGAGAACCATTTTTTTCCTATATAAAAGGGATCTAATACAGTAACTGTACTGAGTTGGTCAGCTAGGGATTAATACAGAAGGGTTTGTAGCATACAGTCGTCTTTGACACCATGAAAGATGGAGATTGTTTCTGTCATGAGGCTGGTTCCCAGGGGAGTCTGCAGCCAGTGACCAGCTGAGGCAGGGAGGGAAGGCCTGGCCTCCTAACTCCACTTGGGACAGACAACTCTGAAAGGCCGTTCGAGCTTTGCAGCACCCTGGAGTCAGCTGAGGTCTAATGTTCACGGCGTCAGAGCTCAGTGTGTCTCTGACCAGTCCGGTTACGTTTATTCTCCTGCAGAAATCAATTAACAGTAGATCTTTTCCACACTAATCTTTATTCTGTCCCGCTTAATGGGAGACCCGACTTCTAATAATATTTACATTTTTAATTTTAATAGATGCTTTATTTACTTATTTTTATGATGTGACTGAAAGTTTACAAAGGAATTTGGTCATCCCTTCATACACCTTTTATTTGATAATTTTAATGACAAACAACTCATTGCCATGGAGTCATTGCCGTCTGCTGGCTGACCTTCCAGAACGTTCCTCAGGCTGTTAATTCCATGAGGGGAGATTGCCCATCTGTCTTTTGAGAAGCCTCTGGTGGATTTGAACCGCCAGAGAAGTGTTGACCTTTGGGTTGGCAGTGCACCTCCTTACAGACGGAGCCACTAGTTATTGTTTTGTTGTTGTGTACTGTCAAGTTGGAACGGAATCACAGCTGGCCCTCTGGAAGATTTTTAGAGGCAGTAAGTCGCACGGGAGCAGATTATCCATCTTTCTACTGTGTCGCAGCTGGTGGAATTCAAAGTGTGTGTTTTTAGGGTGGCAGCACAGTTCCCTGTCACTAGGCCACCAGAGTTCCCTCAGTGCTATTGAGTTGAAGATGACTCGGAGCAGATCTGACTCCTCCCACGCTGTGCCGTCTCTGATACACACAGAGACCTCGCTGCAGTCATTGTGTCAGTCCGTCTCGTTGGAGGTCTTCTTTGACCGACCGTCCACCTTTCTAAGGATTGGCCATGTGTCCAGAGTGTGAGAGATAAAGCTTTGCCGTCCTTGTATCCAAGGAGCATTCCGGCTTTTCTAAGACATACCTGCTCACTTTTGTCCCATACAGCAGCTGGTGGATTCGAACCACCTGCCTTTGGGCTGGCAGCACAGCTCCTTACCCAGCGTTGCTGTTATTGAGTACTGTTTAGTCAGAACCAACCCATAGCTGCCCCTCCAGTGAGTTTTCAGAGGCAGTAAATTGCATGGGTGTTGATAAGGCCACCAGATCTCCACAACTGACAATTTCAATTTGGAATTTAAAGCTTATCTTTGGGCAGTGGTCTTTGGCATGTCATTTTAACTTCTTTGGTTCCAGAAAGTGAATTCCATGAGAATTTAAAAATTCTGTTTATACTGCAGACAGGTGTCTCTGTTGTGGTTGTTTTCGTGGTTGTCAGGTGCTGGCCACAGCGGGACACGCACACTTGGCGTCCTCACAATCGGTGTACTGTAATTGTCCTGTTTCAGAGCCTTTGTTGGAACCACTGTATTGGTCTTTTTGTGTGTGTGTGTACCTTCTAGTGGGCTCCTCTGTTCACAGGGTTTCCCCAGAACACTTCATTGTGAAACCTCTACCTGCACCAGAAGGTTCTTGTCCAAATAGAGGACCACCACCTGCTATAAAGCCTAGGAAAGTGTGTGTCAGTGCGGTCTCCTCTCTGTGTGCTGAACAAGTGGCGTGAGAAGCCAGACTTTTTTTTCTTTTTTTTTTGTGCCAGGAAATTTTATTATTTTTTTTCTATAATTATATTTTATTAATTTTCATAAACATTTACAGAGATTTTGGGCTTCCACTCATTCATTGTTGCACTATTCTCTCTACCCTCCTCCCAGTTTGTTCTTGTCCAAATGCCACAGTGCTTGTCAACGCCAGTTCTGATTAATCTTCTTTGTCAGTGTATCCTTTGCCATTCCCTATCACTCCTCCCTGAGAGAGACTTCACCCTGAGTCATAAGGAAAAGGGCACGGCGTATTCTCTTAGCTACTTCCTGCTGAAAAGGGACGCTGTGGGTTTCAGGGTGAAGATCTTCTCTCACTACTCTAAAGGGCCCCTTTGGCAGTAGGAAACACATAGACTATTATGGAGATTGATTTTGGAATTCAGATGCACTCTTATTGATTGTGCTTGGCTGTACACGTACATATCCTTCAAGATGTATCATGGGGGTGTTGCAACCTAGAAGACACAAATTTGACTAACAAGTTATAAGTACATGAGTCCAAAAATTATGGAAAAGTAAAAGAAAAGATTCTTTCGTTGTTTTACAAACCCTCCCCCAGGTCCCCTCCACCATGCCGCCCTCGCTCTAGTCTCCTGTGATGACAGAAATACCCAGTTACATCTCTCTTTTAAACGGTTCTCTCCCTCCTCTGTTTCAGTGCAGTATACATTATTGAACCCATCTTACTCAGTCTCTCCCCAACCCCAAGGACAGTCCCATTCTACAACAGTGGCATCATGTAATATTTGTCCTTTTGTGACTGGGATATTTCACTCAGCATAATGTTCTCCAGAGTCAACCATTTTGAATAATATGAGAAGCCAGACTTTATGACCAAGAATGTGGCTTCAGGATCAGAGGAAGACTCACTAACAGCCTTTGTTCCGTACCTGACATGACCTTGTTTGCTCCAAGTGAGGGGGACTTAGAGCACTTGCTGCAGAAGATCATGGATGACAGTCCTTAGTATAGATTACAGCTCATCATCAAGAAAACAAATCCTCACCACCGGGCCGATAGGCTACATCATGATAGAGGGAGACGGTTTAATGCCATTTGGATCAATACCCTTAGTGACGGTAACAATGGGCTCAAGTGTGTCAAATGGTGCAGGGTCGGGCAGGGTTCAGAGCTGTACGTAGGGTCTCTTAAAGAGTTGTAGCTAAAGTGGCTGCACATAACAACGAAAACGTGTGACTTAAGGGTGGTACAAGGCCTATGCAAGGGCCTGAGACAACTTGAAGAGTGGTATTTTGAAGACTTCGCTTTTGAAAAAAATTTTTTTAAACTATTTTTTATGTGTGTACCGTCAAATCAGATCTGACTGGTACAAGAGGAGATTTTCCCTCCTCCAGCAGAGCATCTGGTGGATTTGAACCCTCGCGCCTCTGTGATTACTGTGCAGCTTCTTGCCACTAGGCCACCAGAGCTCGCCGGAAAATTTTTTAAACAGTGAAATTTCTTGATGGATTAGTGAGTAGACGGAATATCCCTGAATGAAAACCAGGATAAAGAATCCTCTCCAGAGTGTATTCTGGACTGGAGAACACTTCACAAGGTGGAACAGAAGGAGAGAAATAAAAATACATCGAGAGATTTTTTTTCCCCAGGGCTCTACTTTTCATTGTGATTTGAGCAAATTGATTTCCGTTCAACACTTCATACATTTTGTTTTGTCACAGTGATCACGGTCTGAAAAATGTAGACAGCATTCTTCCCACTTTTCTCCTTGTTTCACCCACTTCCATTGGCCCTTTCCCATCCCTTCTTCCCTTCTGAGGCTCATCTCTGGGAACTGTTGCCCTGCTGATTGTTCATATTGGGCCATTGATTGGTCTAAAGAGTGCATTCCTTCCTGGTGTCATTGATTACCTTATACAGATAGTTGTTAGGTGCTGTCGAGTTGAGTATGGTTCATGGTGATCCTGTGAACAACCTATGTGAGCACTGCCCTATCCCATACAGTCTTCAGAATCTCTGACACACTCAAGCCCATTGACCCGTCACCATGTCAGCCCACCTGGTTGAGGATTGAATCCTATTTCACTGCCCCTCCACCTTTCCAAGCATGATGTCCCTCTCTAAAGAAGAGTCTCTCCTATCAACATGCTCAGAGTATGTGAGCCAGAGCTTTGTCATCTCTGCCTTCAAGGAGCACTCTGGACGGAGCACCTTCTCTAAGACTTATCTGTTGTTTTGTGGCAATCCGTGGGATCTTCCGCACTCCAACACCACAGTTCAAAGGCGTCAGTTTTTCTGTCATTCCTAGTCACTGTCCAGCTCTCAGATGCATAGCTAGTAACTGAAAAGTGGCCTGAATCAGGTGCACCTTAGTCCTCAAAGTGACATTATTACTCCTTAATAATTTGGAGTGACCCCTCACTGCAGACTTTCCCAGTGCAGTATGTCTCCTGATCGCCTGACTGCTGGTACAGAGTGTATAGTAATTGTAGGTCCAAGAAGAAATTGTTGGCAGACTCAGTCCTTTCTCCATCTAGCATGATGTTGCCTTTTGGTCCATTAGTGAGAACTTCTGTTTTCTTGACATCAAGATGCAATCCATATTGAAGGCTGCAGTGTTTAACTTTCTGCAACAAGTGCTTCAAGTCCTCCTCACTTTGAACAAGCAAGATTGTGTCATCTCTATAACAAAGGTTATTGTTGAGTCTTCCTCCAACCTTGATGACCCGTTTTTCTTCATAGAGTCCAGCTTCTTGAATAATTTACTTAGCATATAAGTAGATGTGGAGAAAGGATACAACCCTGACACACACCTTTCCTAATTTTAAACCATGTAGTTATCCCTTGCTCTGTTTGCACAACAGCCTCTTGGTCTAGGTTTCACATGAGCACAGTCAAGTTCTGGGACTCCCATTCTTCTCAATGTTAGCCATAGTTGATTGTGATCCACGCAGTCCAGTGTCTTTGCATAGTCAATAAGGCACTAATAGACCTTCTTCTGAACGTTGATACAGTTCTGTAGGTAACATTGATTACCTGTCCATTGTTTTGCTGAAAATCGAGTTGATTTCAATTTCAGGATTGAAGGGTGATGAAAAGCCGTACTTTAGGGATACTACCAGTCTGTAATCGGGATGGGTGTGTCAGAGGCCATGCGATTGGCACAGGATAGAGCAGGGTTTAGGGCTGTTGTACATAGGGTCGCTATGAGTTGCAAACGACTCGATGGCACATAACAACAACACCACCACCAGTCTGTAGGGACCCCGGTGGTCTAGTGTTAAGAAGCTACACTGCAATTCTCAAAGCACGCAGTTTGAATCCACCAGCTGCTCCGTGGGAAGAGGTGTGTAGCCTCCTCATGTGTGATCTCACAGCCTTTGAAAACCCTCTGGAGGGTCCGTCATCAGTGAGTTGGGTCTAAGTTGACGGCACACGGCAATGGCAGTAGCAGTAGGAAGTCTCTATCCGACTAGGAGGCCTGGTCTTTTTAATGCTTCTTAATTTCCTCCACATTTTTCTCCCACTCTTCTGTGATTCTTTCAGACCAGTTGGCAGAGGTCACCATGCTACCTCTAGTTCGTCCGGTCTCAGGGCTGTGTTGACTGAGGTTTGCAGGCTTCATTAGTCCTTGGGACTAAAATAGTCTTTGATTTTCTTAGAAAAGAGATTGATGATAGCCAAAAAGTGTCATATGCCTTCTGGAATCTTCCAGCTAAAGCAGATGTTTCCTACACGCCAAAGCCTGCCTGCTGTTGGTTCTGCCTCTTGGGTGACTGGGTTATGAGGCTGTAAATGAAGATGGGAGGAGACTGTCCGTGTTTGTTCTGAGGAGCTGCTGGAGGATTCAACCTCAGAGACTCTCAGCCTTTGAGTTAGCCCCGAAAGTCAGCAAGGACTTTATGTTATGTGTTGTTGAGTTGAAACCAACTCATAGCTGACACTCCACCAGGATTTTAGAGGCTGTACATAGCACAGGAGGAGATTGGCTATCGCAGCTATCAGATGGATCGAGAACTCTGGTAGCTGGGCCGGGGCGAGTTTCCCTGCTAGCCCAGGCGCTGCCCTTTCTGGGGGTTTGAATCCTCCAGTGGCTCTGGGGGAGGAGGCTGGGCAGTACCTACAGTCTGGGATGGGTACCTGAGGGTCGACTATGAGTCAGACAGGCTCACTGGCACTGACAGTGATCAAATGATTAGCTTGGCTGAATTGCCTAGTAGCCTAGTGGCATATTGTGTCAGGTTGTTAACCAAAAGGTTGGTGGTTTGAATCTACCTTCTGCTTCGAGAGGGAAAGGTAATGGGCAGTTTCTTCCCTTAAAGATTTACAGTCTTGTAAACTCCAAGGGTTGATGTGAGTCTGAGCTGACTTCTTAGCAGTGGATAATTTTGTTTTATTTTTGGTTGAGTAAGGCTTTTTGCTTCTTGTTTACTCACTATGTTTCCTTGTCCCTTATGGTCCTGTGAACAGATATTGCCACTGAATTCAAAGACCAGTTACAGACGTTGATACCATTTGTATTGAACCCCAGTAACTTAATGGAAAAGGAGATCAATGGCTCAAAAGTCACCTGTCGGGGACTTCTGGAATATTTTAAGGTAAATGTGAGTTTTAATTTTAAAGTGGGTTGTTCCCCTGACTTTGGTTAAACTGAGCTGGCATGTAAAGCTCTGGAGACTTTGTGGTAAGAAGCTGTGCTGCCATCCCAGAGGCACGTGGTTCGAATCCACCAGCTGCTCTGCAGTAGAAGGATGGGCATTCACCTCCCGTGCGATTTACTGCCTCCGGCTGAAGGGTCGGCTCTGAGTTGGTTCCGATTTTATGGACCATAACAGCAACAGCAAAGATGAAAAGTGACGTGAATTTCAATGTTTATTTATTTACTTTTGGAGATACAAAGCAAAAGCAGATTTATTAGGAAGGATACACCCCGAGGGAAGGACAGACGATGGAGGAGGCCAGTTAAGGAAGATTTCCTGGGTAGGGGTAGAGGGGACGAAGCCTTCGAGACCTCAGCTCTTTATACGAGATAGCCACTGGGTGGCGGTGTCTGTTTAAGACCCAGCTAGATGTTTGTACTCTTGAAATTTGGTATTTCAGTACAGATAGTCCCCCAGGTTACCACCTTCTGATTTAGAAACAACTCATACTTGTCCTAAATGTTTTGTGAACTTGCCCTCACTTTGAAATACTTGAACCAGCTTCAGCTGGCAACAGATGTCTCATTGCAATCACCTTACTTACTGCACGTGCAACTTGTAAAGCATTGAAAAGCTCCGAGCCTTTTCTTACACTAAAGGCGAGTCCTGTGTGCACCTGTTGTATCCGTGTGTTTAATTTAAAGGCACACTTAGGCATGGATGTCGTCCACAATGCGGGGGGATGGATCCTGGGGTCCAGTTGGCGAGGGGTGCCTTTCCAGGAGGGAGCCACTGGGTGTCAGTCCTGAAGAGCCAAATGGGTGTTGTTTGTACTCTCTCAGAGAGGGGTTGAAGGAAGAAGGTCCCCCGGGATGATGTGGCCGGGAGATGGTTAGGACGCGGCTGTGAGGCGCACCCAGATGGGACATGACTCCCTCGAGTCGGATGGCCACCGTCCACAGGTAGCAGAGGCCTGTGCATGGGGAGCCTGCTGGCGAGCCTCACCTCTTGTGCTGCTTGACAGGATTTTTAGCGATTTTAGTTAACGAGAGCCACTAACATGCACCCAGAGGTGTGCTGTGTGTTTGCTAATTCCTGGTTGTTGATCTAGGTAGGAGAATACACTTGGAATGGCCACTGTTTCCAAAGATGAGAAAGTAGAAATTAAACACGACAGCATGCTATTTATAACAACTGGTTTGTGTTTCTATTCTAAGGCATATATTAAAATTTACCAAGGCGAAGATCTGCCTCATCCCAAATCCATGCTTCAGGTAAGGGTTCTTGGACATCCTGGAGTCTGAGCTGACTGTGCGACACTAAGCGTCTTCCTACCAGAATGTTGTTGCTCTCCTTTCCCATCGGGCTGGAGAAGCCTGAGCTTCAGAGCAGTGTGGCATCCATCGCCTGCTGGTTTTGTTTTTTTATCTGTCTGCCTGGTGGCACCTGACCATTACTGGTTTTTTTCACTAACCATACTTTGGAAAACACTGCATGTTATACCCAAGTAAAATAGCTGTATCTAGTTATGTTACAGGGAGCTCTGGTGGCCTAGTGGAAAAAACCCGAGCTGCAATCCTGAATGCACGTGGTTCGAATCAGCCAGCAGCTCCTCGGGGGAAGGATTGGCAACCTCCTCCTGTGCGAAGACAATTTTCCTATTATCTGTTGTTTACTTTAGTAGAACATGGCCTGACATGCTTTATTTATTCATCAGGATTTTGTTTTTTCTCCTCAACTAGAAACTGTCATATTGTTTTGACATACAAAGTCTGACTTTCCTTTGCTGAGCACAAGGCCAGTTATTAACAAATGTTCATTTCTTTGATTGCAGAACATTTTCACAAAAGGAGCTAGAGCCTGAAACGAACCTTATAAAGAGAAATCTTTCTTCTTTGGTTCATAGTTATTTCTTGCTTTTGATCGTGAAGCAAACAAAATTATGTTTTCCTCTGATTTGTTTTTAAAAGGATTAATGTAGACCAAAGCATCTTCTATATGAAATCGGATGTGTTTTGGCATAAAAACCAACACTTCCTTCCATAAATAAGACTAGAACATGAAAAGGTAGCAGTAGGGTAGTGAATAAGGAAGAATGAGGAATAGGGCGAGAGGAGAGTCTCACTTGGTTTTTTGACCCACCAATTCCACTACTGGGAATATACCCCAAAGAGACCATAACTGCCACCCAAGCAGATATATGCACACCCATGTTTATTGATGCTTTGTTCACAATAGCAAAGAGTTGGAAACAGCCTAAGTGCCCATCAACAAACGAATAGATTGAGAAGCTCTGGTATATTCACACAATGGAATACTATGTGGCATTGAAAAACAAGGAATTCATGCAATATTATTCAAAATGGGTGACCCTGGAGGACATTATGCTGAGTGAAATATCTCAGTCACAAAAGGACAAATACTGCATAGCGCTACTGTTGTAAAACGGGACTGACATCAGGGTTGGGGGGAGACTTGAGAAAGGGGATAAATTATGTATACTGTATTGAAACAGATGATGGAGAGTACTTTTTAAAAGGGATATAGGATTGGGTATCATTGGCATGACAGGAGTCCAGAACTAAGGTTGCAGAGTGGAGAAGACTTGTGGGGGAGGGATTGTATAACAATGAGTTTTTCTCTTACTTTTCAAAGAGCAAACTGGGGGGAAGGGGTGGGTAGGGAGAAAAGTGTAAAACAAAACAAAAAAAAGAAATCAAAAGGAAACTCTGTAGCTGACACTTTCCTTTCTTTAAAAGGCCACTGCGGAAGCCAACAACTTAGCAGCCGCAGCCTCTGCCAAGGACATTTACTATAACCACATGGAGGAGGTATGTGTGGAAAATGTCTTATTCTGAAATCTCTAGTCTGGATTTTGTTGCTGCTTCACATAGTCAGGCTCGATCCTGTCTGTAATGTGTCACCTGTAATCTAACAATTTGACAGCGTTCAAACCACCCTGGTGAGAAAAACACAAACAATTAAGACAAATATTTTGCTCTGGTGATTGAGATTTTATGGCAATTACTGTTTCTAGCCAAGTCTTTCTTAAGACATCGCTGTTTTCTGATCAGTATCACCTTGGTTATTTAAATGTGATTTTTCAGCTGATGTCAACCCAGATTTTATTGGTCTTGATCATCAATTTAAAGTTCACTTCTAAGGCCGTACATTTTCCTGGCCTTTTACAGTGTCTCTTTTTCTCCTGGTTTTGTCGGGCATTTGTTTGTGAAGGGAACCTTACCGAGCTTTCTCTTTTTTTTAGGTTTGTGGGGGAGAGAAACCGTATTTGTCGCCAGACATTCTAGAGGAGAGGCACTGTGAATACAAGCAGCGTGCTGTTGAGCACTTTAAGAGGACCAAGAAGATGGGAGGGAAGGACTTCAGCCTCCGGTACCAGGAGGAGCTGGAGGGCGAGATCAGGGAGCTGTACGAGAACTTCATCAAGCACAACGACAGCAAGAACGTCTTCAGCACCTTCCGCACCCCCGCCGTGCTCTTCACGGGCATCGTGGCTCTGTACATCGCCTCGGGCCTCGCCCTCTTTGTGGGGCTCGAGGTTGTGGCCCAGCTGTTCAACTGTTTGGTTGGGCTGCTGTTGATCGCGCTCCTCACCTGGGGTTACATCAGGTACTCTGGTGAATACCGTGAGCTGGGCGGCGCCATCGATAATGCTGCGACCTATGTGTTAGAGCAGGTGAGTGGTGCTGCCTGTGGAGGGTGAGGGCTGCTCGTGGCCAGGTGGTTGTCCTTGTGTTGTGAAACATCTCCACGCAGACGAGTATCACTGTGCAAGGTGTGAAGAACTTCCCTGGCCATCTTTTCCCTGACTGGCATTGTGTTCTTTTTCTTTACGTTGTTAATATTTATTCCTAATACTTTGCTTCACTTCCTAAAGATCCTTTCGTGTGAAGGAAGTACCATTTTAGAATATTGTACATCTCACCAGAATCTCTTCATTATATGCTCTGGAGACCTCTTTCGTGGATGCTGCTTTATTATTAGTTCATGTCTCTGAAAAGCAGGAGCTTTGAAAACGATGAACTTAATCCAGTCTTTTGTTTTGAGAAGATAGCTATCTCCTTCCTGTAAAGTCTTCAGATGGATTTTTATTTTATTTTTTTATTATTTTTGTGTGTGTGTACCGTCAAATCAGATCCGACTGGTACAGGAGGAGATTGTTCCTCCTTCTCCAGTAGAGCATCTGGTGGACTTGAACTGTGTGCCTCTGGGATTGCAGTGCAACTTCTTGCCACTAGTCCACCAGAGCTCCCCCAGATGGATTTTTTTTAAAAATTTTATTATTTTTTGTGTGTGTGCTGTCAAATCAGATCTGACTGGTACAGGAGGAGATTGCCTCTCCTTCTCCAGCAGAGCATCTGGTGGATTCGAACCATGTACCTCTGGGATTATAGTGCAGCTTCTTGCCACTAGGCCACCAGAGTTCCCTCAGATGACTTTTGACCATGATGAGATCTCCAGTTTCGTAATTCTTTTTTTTCTTTTATTTTTTTTTAAGTTTCGCAATTCTTGAGGCTCCTTCAGTATTTATTTTCTGAGTTGTGTGAGCCAGTCCGTCAGGAAGCTGGCGATGAAGCCGAGGGCCCTACCTGTCGGTCCACAAAGGGGCGTTAACCCCCGGGAGTTAGCTGTTGCCACAGCCTCCCCTTACCTGTATTTTCCTTTCCCTCTTCCAATATCTAATGCCAGTGGAGACTTTTTTTTTTTATAAATCTATAGCTTTATTAAGACAAAAACAAGGGTAGTATGAAGTTTACATTTAAACGATTTTCACAGAAATCTAACACATGCCTAGAAAGATTTAACAATGGCGCTCTAGATATAGTTTAGATAATGTCAAGAACTGATGAATCTCATGATTGAAGACAAAGCATTTCAGATATCAGTTAATTCTTAGGATTAGAAAAAGTTTTAGATGAACCACTGCCCCAGTGAAAGTTTAATCTTCTCCTGAGACTAGGGCTTTTGAAGTCTTTTAGCCTTTGAATTGCTTCAATGAAACTTGTGCTGTTAGTAATTGAACCCTGCTATCAATGGTTTCAGGGTTCAAAGTTCAAAAACCAGTGGCTCTGAAACTTCCACTCTTCTTTCCTCTCTGAATCTTTACCCCTAAATACTTAGTCAGAGGCTTGGATGGACAAGCTGGTATTTATGACTTACTGGAAAAGAAAGGTCTGTCAATTGCAAGATTTAGCACCTCTAAGACAGAACCATTTGCCTTTGTATACTTGACAATAAAAAACATTCTTTTCCATTTCCATCTCAAAAATGACGAAGTTGGTAACTTACTGGCTTAGTCCTTTGTAGGGACAGCATTAAGCTCAGGCAGGTAACATCTTGGCTTACAGGTTTGAAGCATTCAGAGGCTTTAAACAGTCTTTCAAAGTCATTGTTTATGTTGCCAGTGACACTTTTTAAAAACAGGTAAAATGATTCTGGACATAGAATCAAATCAATAGTTTGGTTCTTCCTATTTCATCATTTCCCTAATCAGGCCCCAAATTTTAACAAGAATAATCCTATCCATTTCCCATCTTTCCCACCCATCCCTCCCACCCCTCAAATAATACACCAGTAATAGCCAAAAACCACACACATGCTACGCTGTAAAAATGGAGAGTTAAGACTATTGGGAAGAAGGCTGTGGGTTGTGGAGATGCTCTTTGAAGACCCACAGTATCTCTCTGCTCTCCCACACACCCACTCTGCAAAGTTTTGTCCTTCATAGCAGGCCCTCTGCTTTTCTCAGCAAAGTGCAGAATGGGTTGCCTTTAAACACTTATCCGCGTCCCCTCCACTGGGATGGGTGTGCAATCTATACAGCATGGAACAGCTTTAAAGCACTTGGGTCACTGCAGGGCACAGAAACTACTGGCTCTTCAAAGGACATCTTCTCAAGCCACTTCTGTGGTGTCAAGACAAGTAGAACTCCTTCCCTCCCCACTTTAAGCCTGTCACAGTCTTGTGACAGGGGCTGGTACTCAACAGAGTTAATTCTTGCCATCTTTTTTATCATCATCCTCTGAGGGGTAGGAATGCCACGTCAGCCTTTCCTCATAGAAGGATATGACAACCTGTGGGCACTTGACATTGGCTTCCTTGGCAGGGGCCAGATCAGCCTCATCAGAGTTTTTCCATTTCATCAGGAACATGAGCTCTCCACTGGAGTCTGTAACTCCAATAATCCGCTCTGGCTCCAAACCCCGGGCAAAGCCTCGTGGCTTTTCTGACTCCTCCTCTTCTTCTTTGGTTTACTTTCCTCTCCGTTATCTTCAGCATCAAGAGTCAGCTTTGTGCTTGCCTCCCTCTGATTTATCTGTCTCATGAGCTGTTTTCTGTGACTGAAGAAGGTCAGCAATGAGGTCAGGACAGTCCAAGTTCTCTCCTGGCTCCTGTGTGTTGTCCTCATCTGAGAAACCCTTCCACTTTAGGAGGTACTCCGCTTTGCCCTTTACCACTCGACCATCGAGAACCTTTTCCACCACATATTCTTCTTCCTCTTCTAGTTTCTTTTTGTTTTGCTTTTTCCCCGTAGTGCCTGCCAGCTTTCTAGTGTAAAGGTTGACGTTGCTCACAGCAGCGCCCAAGAGCCCGAGGGGAATTGGTGTCACACAACTGGCACGTCGTGTAGGGCTGGCCAGGGAAGTGGCGCCCACAGAAGCAACAAGCTGAGTGGCCATGATCAAGCCCCTCACTGAAGCGGCGTACCACAGGTCTGGGTCAACAGCCGTCCCCACTGCCAGTGGAGACTTTTGACAGAGTAGCTCTAAGGACCTGATAAATTCTTTTTCTCTAACTGTTGTGTTACTTTTACAGGCTACTTCTTATATGGGTAATTCCACTCAAGCGGCTTTGAGGAGTACAATTGTTGGGAGACACCCTCAACCAGTGGATAAAAAAGCACAATAGCAACTTGACCTGAGGCTCCAACAAGAAGCCAACCAAGCCCAAGTGATTTCTGGGGATTGGCCCTAGTCACAGGTCCAGGTCCAGAGAAACTGGCCGATTTGAGACCATCCAGAAAGAGCAAACACACAGGACTATAATAAACGGAAGGACCTCTCCTGTGGCTCCGAGTTCTTAATCACTTGGTTTCTGTTGGAAGCACTGCTTTCCCTGCTGGTGTAGACCCAAGCCTGTGTCTCTTTTCTTACTTCTCTCTGCTTTATGCACTTTATGGGGAAAGTTAAAGGAGAAAATGCACTGCAGCTTTAAGTCCTTTATGTGCCACCTAGTGCCTTTTAAGATCGAATCTGGGATTCTGTGGGTTTGTGGGGGAGGGGGCGGAGGGTAACCCTGAGGAAGATGCCATTTTGCATTGAAACTTGCCATTTCCTTTACACCTTACTCTTTTCAGTAGGGTTCCTTTATTTTAAAAAGTTTACCAAACTTGCACAAGCTTCAGAACTAAAGACTGGCAGAACACAATGCCAAGAAACTTGAAAAATCCTAGTTCTGTCTTTAGAGAACCCTGTTTGGTAGAAGCATGGGAAATTCAAACATTTAAAGCATCATCCTCTGAAACTGAAGCTCTTTTACCTTGACACGCTTACAACCCTCTCTGGGTTTTTTGCCTTCATTTATTTGTCGTTTCTTTCTAGTAAAGAAGGCCAAAAAAGCCAGAGTGCCTCAGAACAGAAGGAGGGGCCCGGGTATGTTTTGAGGTGGGGATGGGGGTGTTAGAGCCTGCGTGGCAGTAAACCATGGGACCTCTGATAAGTCACTTACATGTATGCCTTGGTCAAATTGACTGTAGGTTTATATGTGTGTGTATATATGTTACGTGGGATTTTCACACACAGTCGTTATTGAGAGAGGTTTCTCTTTCTTTTCCTTGAGCATTCTGTGTGAGGAATTGGAAAAACATCACACATTACTGCCTTTAATTGGTACCATATTCCATGTAGTTTAACAGTAATTTGTCTTTGTCCAAAGTGTTTATTTTCATTCACCTGTACACAAATGTATTTTTAGCAAGGAAGCTGCAATTGTCAATTTTATTTTGTAAATCTTCCTTTATAACTTTACTTGTCACTAGTCTGATAGCTTTAAAGTAGCTTTGCCTTAGAAAGGACCGAAGTCCTACGCAAATACAGTGAACAGAAATGTCGAAGAATGCCTTTCCCTTCACCTGGTTATGAAAATTTCTTACCCAGCTAGTCTTTTCCTTTGATCGGACATGACAAATTAGTATGGATTTTATAAACTTCTTAAATCTCAGCAAATTCTCAAACTCACTGCTGCTGAGTCAGAGTCACCTCACCGGTGACCCTCCGGCGGGTTTACTGAGGCTGTAACTCGCACTGGAGGGCACTGCCCACCTTTCTTCAGTGGAGCTGCTGCTGGATTCGAACCGCCAGAGAGGCAGGCCTTTGGGTTAGATGTGCAAGTCCCTACCAAGTATGCTACCAGGACTCCCCAAAACGGAGTTCTTAAAACTAGCCTGCAAGTATTTGTACAAACATTCAGGTATATGAGACTTAATTTTTGAAGATCTTTTTTTTTTTACCATGATAGAAAGGAAAATTTAGGCAAAATGTGAGTAAATTTTATACATACGACGTGTAAATGGGTGGGGTGGGGGACAGGCCTCCTTCAGCATGGAATTGCTTTGTCAGAGAAGTTTCTCTGGATTAGCCTGTTACCTCTCAGGTGTTTTGTAAGGTCGGAATTAAAGCATTGTGTATTTTTTTTCTATATTTACATAACTCCTTTGCCCAAAAGTTCATGCTGCTTTAATCATTTGTCATTAAATTTTAGCAAAATTTGGTCTTGTTCTATTAACTCTTACTTGCTTGTTTTCATGCTAAGCTTTGACTGTTAATTGCAAGTTTGTTTATGAGATTTTTATGCATTTACGGGAGATGGCCTTTCACATTCATAGGCCTTAAAGATGTTGATATATTTAGCTTTTAAAGTGTATTTTCTAAGCAGATCTGTGGATTTCAGAATAGTTAACTGTCAAAAGTAGTTCTCATTTTAATGGTGAGAAAAATCTATGTCCCAGACACATTCTGATACTAAATATAGGAGTCTTTTTTTTTCTTCTTTCCAAATACATCATAATGCATTCTTTTAATTAAATCTTGGGATTTAATTACTGTTTAATGTCATTATTTCTGTTCCAATTTATAAAGCAGTCATTTAATTACCTGAGGGAGACCTTATTCCCCCCACCCTTCATTACTTAATTCACCTGCTTGTGAAATGGATTAGAAGATTATGTTAAGAGTTTTAATAGTTTTCTTCGGCGTTTCTTTAAACAAAAAGTTGATAGTTTTATGTAAGTTTTTAAAATGAGTGATGCATGCTCACTGCTGGCTATGACGTTGTGGGGTATGGCAGCCAGGGTGAGTGTGCCCTTAACTCCCTGACTTCTCAGCCTTCTGTGAGTTAAGGACTTGACGTAGCAGCCAGATGTTCCGTGTCTGTTGCTCTGCCACTCCCAGCTGCCCTTTCCGTGAAGGTATTTGTAATTTGCACATTCCTAAAAATACATGAAGCACATTCCTACTAACATTTAAACAGATGTTTCCAGAATTTTCTTTTCAAATAACTCATTTCAGAAGATGTCAAAGGCTGCTAAGTTTTTGGTTGTTTTTTAAAAAATTTTTATTTAGCACCTTAAAATCAGAGAATCCAAGTGATACTGAAAAATCTTCCTAGATTGGTTTGCAGTCCAGGGTAGACACAGGAAATCTGAGGACAAAACTATCAGGGTTGATAGTGAAACCATCTTCAGAGTCATATTTCAGCAGCGTATAAAGAGGTCTGTGACTTGGAGGTTTGTATTAACACTGACTTTGTGCTTTGTCTGTTTGCCTGCAAAGTGTTAACTGCTTTGCTTGCTTTTTCTCTTTTGGGGAAATAAAGTGATTTGGGCAAACAGCTCTGCCCAGTGCTGGCAGTCTGTCTCTTCAGCAGATCATGCTATGTCTAGGGTGAGCTTGGATGGGTGTATGTATCAACAACTGAGAAGCCAAGTTGCTTTAAAGTCCAGGTAAAAAGGATAAAACACAAGTATTTGGGGCTCTGTTGGGCTAGTGGTAAGAAGCTGCGCTGCAATCCCAAAGGCACACGGTCTGAATCCACCAGCTGCTCCATGGGAAGAATGATGGGCAGTCTCCTCCCGTGTGATTTATGCCCCTGAAAACCCACCGGAGGGTCAGCTGTGGGTGGGTTCCAGCCCGGTGGCACACAAGAGTCTTATTTTCCCTTACGGATTTTATTTTTTGAACAATGTAACATTGTTTTCACAGGACTATTCTTTTTTTTTCTTGAAGACAAAAACAACAAAGCTTTATTCCACATACATTGTGCATGTTGCTAAGAACACAGGACTATTCTTAAGATGTAGGATGTTTCTATCTAAGGTAACCACCTTGGGCTGAGCCATTCAGGCTTGCTCACCTTAGGAGCCAGCAAAATTTTAGTCCAGGAACAAGGGCATAATGAAGACGAACTTCAGTTATGAAAGGACAAAGTATTTGTTATTTTTTTTTTAAAGTTATCAAGAAAGCCAGTCCAAGCAAATTTGCAATTAAATATTTTTTTTCCCTTGGCAAATTTAATCTTGTTCTAAGAACCATTTCTTGCTTATTTAATGCTCAGCTTTGCTAAGTGACAATTTGTGTTTGAAATTACCTCTGTTTAGGAGAGGTGGCCTATCATCTTATTAGGCCTTGCAGACATTGTGTTAACATAGTGTGGTAGTTGTGTTTTAGGTAGTGGTTCCCAGCTACCTTAGCACACATAAGACTTACCTGTTAGAATGCCTGTTAAAAAATTCACCTTCCCATCCTGATACTCGGAGATTGCCTCAGCTAGTCTGCGCCATTTTTTTAAACAGTAGTTCAGAGTTCACAGTGAGAACCAGCTCCCCGTGGGGGCTACTTAATGAGAAAGTGCAATTCAGTGTTGTCTGGGGAAAGAGACAGCTTTTACCTGAGGTTCAGAGCAGATAATCTACTGCCAGATAAATCCCTGAGAGTTTACTCTGCCCACGCTAATAAGGCTGCCTTATCCAGAGGATTATGCAAACTCAAAGCTGTTTTTCCAAATTAAGATGTCATAGTGCCTTCTCTGAAACCTGAATGTATAAGTATTCCTGTTTACTAACAGATGAGATGTAGATAGAAATTTTTTTTAAAAGCCTTTCTTTTCTTTAAAAATGTAAAAGTACTGTGACTTGAATTCCTAAATCTCTAGCACATACATAAAACCTTAAGCCACAAATAAAAACAAATGGACAAGAATCAGACAACTATAACTTTGATAATTAGGGACTAAAGTGCTCCAATATCAGGAGCTTTTCAAAGTAAACCCAGTGTCAGAAAGGTTTTAAAGAATATTTTTGTTCTTCAGGAAGGTAATTCATGTCCTAGAACTGAACCTTAAATGTTACGTTCTTATGACCAAGGAAAAGTTGCATTTGATTCCCAAAGCTTTCTTATTTAGATGAAGAAATGCTGACATTAAAAGAGTTACTATTAAGTTTGATCGCATAGAGCTTCTTGTCAGATTCCTTTTGTGTTTTTAGTTTAAAAATGGTAATGTTTTGTGAAAAGTCCTTTATTCTAGACCCTCGGCTTTGAATGTGTTTAAAATTTAGTACTTTATTTTTTTAAGTGCAAAAGAATGAGAGGATACGATGAGTATATTAAAAGCATGTTTTCTGTCTCACTCTTAGTTGTAAAAGCCATTTAATGGAATAAAGATCATGACACAATGTTATGTCTTTCGTGTTCTTTAATGTGGGAAGATCTGTGAATGAATCGATTTGGGCTTGGATTTCTAAGGGGATTGTTCAATGTCAAAGTTATCAGCGTGTTTTAATGAACTTTCTCTGTCCTAAAACACAGTCCAGTGCTGGAGAAGGCTACACTATTGCCAGAGTTGCTTAAAGACCAGCACAGAGTTTATTTCTAGTGACAGAGATCTTGTGAGGAGCCTGGGTTTTGTCG